CGCTACTAAATGGGCGCTAGGTTGTTCGTGGATGGGGATGATACTTCAATATGCCATTGTTTGAGGATGGATTGCCGATTCCAACGAAAATAGATTTTAATTCCATTACCATTAGACCAAATTTAATGCCCGTTGTGAGTAAACCTAGTTAAGAAATTTACACGTCTAAAAATATTTAGGTACTTGGAACTGTAATGAGGACAAATTTTATCGTAGGTTACGGTTAACATTTTGTTTCAATTAAAGTCCTTTTTAATTATGTAGATAAAATTTTAAACATTAATGTACACATAACATTATAGATAGCGTTAGAAAACTACGTCATATATTTCTAAATTCATGGACAAGGTTGATATTTAAATGCTTCGAAAATTACATAATCAAGATACAGAAAGAAAATGAACTCTGTGAGCACAACGATCATTCGATATTCTATTTTTACATAAAGTGTGAGTGTTCTCTAAGTTTATGACTTGTCTCTACATGCCGGAATACGATTTTTAGGAGATTTGTGACCAATACACGATCTCGAAACGGAAAAGTCCTTGACCTCTCTCAAAAACACTCATGCCGGTTATAGTAACAGCACCAGAATTATATGTATTTTTTTTTTTATTATTTTTTTTATTATTTTATTTATTAATTATGTGTATTTCGGTCACAATAAAATAAAGCCAATAAAAAGAAAATACTAAAACAAAAGGCTACTAAAATTTTATTGAAAAAATATTAAACAGTAATTTGTAGTTTGATACGGGCTGTATAGCACTTTTATAGAGTCATTAAAAGGTGAACTCTGCGGCTTTATAACGCGATTATAGCATTGTAATATTTTCTAATGTTATGTACTGGGAGTTAAGCTAAGGTTTTGTAGTTATTTTATTGCTGCAGGGACCTTACCGCATAAGCGACGAGTTAGCGTTGCGTGGGCGCTATACGAGTAGAACAACACAGATGTTTACGCAGATTTCGAAAGTTCCATCCAGTTTTCTGGGAAAGCAGTGGAAACCCTTAGTTATATGCCGGGATACTATCGTAAATAGGAGAAGGCTGAGATTCCTTTAGGAGCTTGGGTGGCACGAGTAGGACGACGAGTTGTAAACACTAGATTTAACCAAAAATACCTAATAGATAGTATAGTAACACGTATTTGTAGCAAGGATATTGCAAAGATCTCGTTAAATACTTCATTTGTATGAATTATTCCAATAAGTTAATAACAAACCTATATTAGCCATAGACCGAGGGTAGTTTAGTGGGACAACAGTCGCTTCTCAATTGACAGCTCGACGATTCGAATCCCTCTGGCGGCGTGTACCTATGACTTCAATTTCGAAGTTATGTACATTCGTGAATATTTAGCAGTAATACCTCGCTAACTGTCAAGGAAAACGCGTGAAATTTCTAAAGTTTTTGGATGGATCAAACCCTCAATTAAGAGTAGACCCGTGCCCAGCAGTAAGACATTCAATGGGTTGACGATGATGATGATTTGCCATTAAGTGTACTGGTAGCGGTACGACATGATAACTGTGATGTAAGAAAATTTAATTCCTAGACAAAACAAAACAGACACAGTTATCTTACAATGATATTTCACTTTTTATGCCCGGTGGTTTTTCGTTAACCATATAACAAACCTACATTTTTGTGGTGGACAACAAAGATGAAAGTGTCACTTCTAAATTTGATATCATGTTCATGGTAGATTAGAATCTAGATGTTACTTATGAACATTATCTTGTACCCTCCGTGGTAAGTAATAACCCGGTAATCCGTTTTTACTATACTCCGCCTCTAGCTAATCGACTAGTTGTATTTATTACCTTACCGTTTAATGTTTCCCCATGATGCGTTTGTGATAAAGATGTTATCAACAAAATTTACTGTGGGACAGTTAAATTAGATTATCTTATACGTGTAAGGTTTTCGAATAATTTGTTACACATTAAACTGACAAGATTTATTTGGTTAATTAAAACATTCTTCACGTTTTATGTTGCCGTATTATGTGTGTTTATAAATATTTTTGGTACTTAGTTCGTTCGTTTTAGCACCCATATAGGCTTTATTAATTTTTGTCTGATCATACTTTATTTTTATTCCCTTTTTATCGGCAGTGTGTTATTTAGTTTTTGTCATATTTTATATATCCTTCAATGTTCACTTTTTTCGTATTATGAACTTTTTTCTAGTCTTATTAGAAGTTTCGTAACGTGTGTGTACTTTAACGCATGGTTTGTTTGCCGTCTATATTTCGTCCTCTGTCTTTGTTTAGGATTTGCCACGTGTCACGGCTGTTCCACCTAACTTTGTATCTTCAGTTCTTATGTTCTCTATTTCAAGTGTAGCAAGGTTATTTATAGTTTTTGTAGAGGTTTGTGTGGTAAAATTGCCAGGGTTGTCGGTTGTCAGTCACCAATGAAGTGTCAACCAGCCAGAGGGCCACTTTTTCGCTTGGTCGCACACCTGTTTAGGGTACTGGGAAATAGATAATGGAAGTAAATGGAATCGCTCCAGGGTATTGTATTTTTGGAATAGTCTTTTCAGCAAATTGGACTATTTCTGGGGAAGTTCGCTTGAGTACAACATTTTTCGATTGTTTTTTTTTTTACAATAAAGTGATCACCTTCTAATACAAAATTGTAATTTTTTAATCTCATTTGGTGAAAAATTTATGTATTATTTATAGCAGCAACAAGTCCAAAAATGATAGTTGAATAAATTGCATTTCCTCCACATTTTCACCAAATGACAGAAAGACGATTAACATTAGAATATCAATCGTTCTCTTCATTTCACTTTCATCTTAGGGTGTGTTCTCATTAACAGCACATCAACTACTGTATGTACTGTATACTCATTGCAGTTGCGCCATATTTCATCTAAACTCAGTACTATTTTATAGTTGCTATGTAATCGAGGCACTACTCAGTTAAAGCGCACTTAGTCGAAAGCTTCGAAGAAATCAAAGTACTAGACTACAAAATCTACAACTTGTAGTTAACGCATTTGTATCGTTGATAAAAACTGGTCTACTTATGTCGCTTGAGTAGTCGATCCGTGGCTTAATTATTCTATTAGTAATACAATACCTATGCTGTTGATATATTACCGTAGATTAATTCAATTTAAATATATATATAATGCGAAATATGCATAATAGAAGTAATTTAATTTTCAATTTTCTGGTAATGCAAATATTATCATTACAATTGTCAAAACGTGCATAATTGATTACCACTGAACTAGTTAAGTAAACATCTATCTAATGAAAATTTAGGTAGCAATGTGTTGAATGATAAACAAATACCTAATTACATTTCGTTATTTATTACATTCTTCAAGCATACCTTATAATGCTATAGATATCAAAGAACCAGTCGAATTGTTGATAACTTCCGTAAGTCGTAGATGGGATGGTTTTTTTATATCTGTTTCGTTCACATACCACTTTTATTTCTTTTAGCTCAGCCGGTCTGTCGGCTGTATTGGTTTCCTTTTAGAATTATTATTTTATGGAACGATCTATTTTTACGCTTGTAAAGTACGTTTTAATAATGGAATCTTTTGAAACTTCACCATTGGCATTAAGACTAATTTATTTTATAGTAGATGACATATTATGTTCAATTTATGCATTGGTCTAAAAATCATAAGCTGTAAATGTTTTGTCTGTTGTTTGAAATCATTCTTATAGCACGTATATATCTGCAATCTTTATAATGTTACAATTTCATGATTCCTTCCATTGAGTGATAGATAAACAGTTTAGTCATTTGCGTCACTACAAATCTTGCTTATTTATTACTATTATATATACAAACATCTCAGATTTTGTACCTTGAAATGAACTCCGTGTACGTTAACTTAAGACATATTGACTTAACTATGTTTCATATTATGTTTAAACTGTTCTTCCTTATTCAAATGTATCTTAACAATTGCTCCAGCTGATTATTTAAGTCTTTTTTGTATTGTGATTAATGTTTCATTCTTATTGTTGAAGAAACTTCTATAGCTTGAGAAAGGTTAATTAGACATTGAAGATAATTTCATATGAAGATTCTTTTTGAATGTTTTGATTTTGAACTAGAATTACAGTTCGTCTTCGTCATCCTTTACAAGAGTAAACCTATTCAATTATATTTCTTACGCATTAGAGTTGTTATATTGAATGTTGTTATTTTCTTTAAATCCCTTTATTGTATACTTAATTTATTGGACCAAAATGTTTATTATAAGAATTATGAACTTAAAAACGTATTAATATCCTTTTGTTCTATGCAATGGTCTACAAACAATGATATTATTAATATCGCGATCTTAACTTTCTTCTGTTTTCCGTTTGTGTTACTTATTCATCTTGGTTATATGAACTTAATCTACGGTCCAACGAAAATGCAGACAGTTATTCAGAATCTAGCATAGCACAGGAAATTAGCACAAACAGCTTCATCTGCACAAAGGAAATAGCATTTTACATTCATATTGACGTGCTCTCGATGATTGTTATTCCAAAGTTGATTGAAGAATCGATTTGTTTGAAAATGTTTAAGTTGAGGTTTTAGGATGCTATAATAAACTAACAACAAAGGATTGAAACAAAGCTATACCGTAAAGATTTATTATAAGAAATAACAGACAGCGCATTGAGACTGGAATTTCTAAAGAAACAAGTGTTTGATTAAGTTTTAGCGTATTGAATTATTATTACGGCTTGGACAAGTATCTAGAGTAGTAAAGCTGACGGAAAATATAGGGTTAAATACACAGTTATCGGAACAATAAAAAAGTCCGGAACGAAAGTATAATAAGTCGAAAAATTTGCAACACAAATCGCACTGCAGTGTCTAGTGCAGAGTTTTTTTGTGTGCGGGTCAAAAGAAACCTTCTGATTAGCATATTCTATAGGTTTCCCACCCTATTGCGGCAGATTTCCTAACAAATCCTCTGAAAAATAATCAACTATATAATTCCTAATGTTGACAACACGTTACCGATTAAAGTGCACTGTTACACCCTATTTATCGGTGTACAAAATATTGTTTCATATCATTATTCACAGAGCTAGGACGCTGCTTAGAAAGCTCGCCTGTCATTACCACTTGCACTGTTTATTCACTGGTTTGTAAATGAAAACACTGTTCGAGGCACTCGTGCACTTGTTTAAATGGCATTTGAATGGTTATTGGTTGTGGTATTGTGGGTTATTTTGTTGTATTTTGTGTGAGAGCGGCGCGGAGACACGGTGCGGCGCGTTCGGTGCGCGGTGTCGACTAAACTGATATACCCCGGGCGAGAGCGCTTTTTTGTTCAGCCGGCTGCGTTGACTTAATACAGTTTGCGTTCCATTTTAAGCTGTATGTTATTGATTCAAACTTAAGTAAACCGGTAAGTCTTACTAAGCAATGCCAACATGATGGGTTATTGTAACTTTATTTGCATTTGAGTGCGAGTGGTATGGTATGGTGCAGGGAGTCGATGTCAGTAATAAGAGTTGAAATAGGAGTCCATATAATTAGGACCCAAAATACCTTACTAGACGGTTAAAAAAATAAAAACAATTTACGAAGTTACAAAACAAATTAAAAAAATCATTCTAGATTGTGCGTAAAAAGGAACGCCTCGAAGAAACCAACGCCACCTATCTTTTCCTGGGTGTAAATACTGGCAATACAGTGCGTGTACAACCCCGTGTTACCCTTCTCACAGCAGGGTTAAGCGTCCAGTATGAAAAGAGGTCTACAAACATCAAGGAATGTTTGAATTCTGGAGCTGTTAATTAAATGTAAGGGTTCATTTTAAAATGGTTCTTCATACGAAATGTAGGGCTGCGATTTTAGGGCTAACAAATTAGAAAGGGGAGAAAAAACGAACGTCAGGTTTATTGACATTTTGCTGCGATAATTAAGGCTTAGCGAGGGTCTTGCAAGTTATCGGCAGACCGTTAAATTTTAAAGCTCGGACTTTTGTTTCAATTAGTTCGTGCCGATTGGCTCCCTAATGATGTATTAACGGGGGTGTAATTTTTTACGACATCCCGGTTTATTGGTGTTTAATTTTCAACGGGACATTTTTGTATTTTATTACAGACGATTTTATTGTATAATAAATAAGTCAAGCAACGACAATTATTTGGGTATACGGCAAATTATCAAAAAATTACAACTGGGGATGCACCCATCGTAAAAAAACGCTCTAATTTAGGTACAGCCGAAGAAAGTAATGTAATTAGATACTTATAAAAATAATATTTAGCATTTAGGATATGGGTCATATTTTTACAATGTCTTTCACTTTAGTTCCATTAAAAGTTCTATTGTCGGAAAAAAAAATCTAAATTACCGACATCTAAACAGTGATGTACAGTAACGGCAGCATAGCTACTCTTCCAACTCTATCCAACATGTAATACGTAAAGCATGTTTCTTAGTAGTTTGCTTGAACGCTAATAGATGGCGTTCCACGTCGAATTAAATTTTTCAACTGAACACCAGTTTTAATGGACACAATTGCAAAATTATGCAATGTAGTCACAATGAAAATTGGGCTTATTAACCATTCTTTGTCTGCACTAACTTAACTATGACAACACTTTCAAAAACAAATGAGAATAACACTAATAAACTAAACCTCAGTGAAAAACGCACTAACTCGACTAATATTAATTTTCGTTTTTCGTTTTTTAGCATTCATCATATGACGCATATTTCTATTTAATCGCCACTACTCTAGCTGCTTTAGAGTTGAAAATTTGAACTGATCATAGACCTACGAACTGATAGAATAAACCTCATAATGAAGCTATAAGTCTTAAATATAGCAAAAATTCACCACAATGATATTGCCACAATGTGTTTTTGGTCTTTGTTTTTTATTATTTCTTGCGATGCGATCTCAATAGACAATAAATCTGTTTGAAGTTATTTTATTATTAACACCAAATGGCCAATTGAAATTGATGTAATACACAAACACATTTATTTTATTGCGACAAATGATACAATTAGCTTCTATTCTTTCCTACTGTGACTGTGTAAGTTAAATTCAATTATTGATAAATCACACTACTGACACTGAAATTTCTTTCTACAAAAAAAATCAAAATTAAAACACATTACAAAAAACCATCCACAAGTTACCTAATCTCAATTAAGGAATTTCGTATACTTTGAGCAACTAACGAAATTTGCCTCGGTTGCGTTCTATGGTTGCACTGCCCAAAATAGTCGGACCGGAACCAATTTAGAAATGTTGTCCTTTAGTGCTTAGTACCCATAGTTCAAAGATGATAACTTTTTACATTTTTTTTCAAAAGTAGTCAAACATCGTGACAATTCAATAATTGTCACGATGTTTGACTACCATGATATTTAATTATTTTTGTGAAATTACTCCACTATAGTTTGTTATAATTATTAATACAAATCTTTCGATCCAGTGTGATTAGAACTAACGTCCTCCAGCAAACCGTGCCAGTCGCCATGCCAACCAAGCCACGGTACGAACTAGCTATAAAAACATCTTACGAGTGTTTTAATACCTAATTACGTACAGTTACATAAACGATTTATCTACATGACTTATCTACACAATATTATAAGCTCTCTGTGATGTGTTCAAGAACCGCGTGTTACGACTGGTGAAATGGCGGCAAATAAAAACTTATCTCACGTAGTAACTTTTCACAAACGTAGTTTTTATTTAAAATTTATAGACAAACTAGAATCGGCCCTAACTATCATATCTTTCGATATCAAGTAACGTGCGAAATTGTCAAAATTGCTTGCTATTGACATTTTATTTCGAATAAACTTCATCTCGATTGATATTAGGATTGAGGTCCAATCAAATTGTTTTGTTTTTCAGAGATGTTCGAAATTTGAATGTAATAATAAAATCGAATTGGATGTTAGATAAGAAGCAATAATAACATTTTCACAGATAAGAAATTTGTTCTAACAAGACAGTTTACCTTCATGCCGGTCGTAATTTGCGGTTTTTGAACACATCATAGAGGGCTTATGATATGTGTGTGGATATAGTAGATTGCACTATAAGTGCATAAAACGCGTCATTTTACCCGAGACGAGTATTTAATTAAAATTGAATGTAAAATTACAACAATTAGACATATAATACGGATTAAAAAAATAAAAGTAAAACTTTATTTTATAAAGTTCTAGGCGTAGTAGTAGGCGTCACTGCCTTGGTCCTAAACGACGATTTTATTTTATGCACTAGAGCATAAAATCCTATTTTATGCAACCTACACTCAGCATAAATACGAATTTTAAGAGCATGAGAAGTGCAAAACATATTTTATTTGTCTCGAAATTTCAGACGTACGAAGTCCCTTTGAGACCATAGAAGTTGCAACACGTCCGAAACATAAGATAACTTTATCCACTTGTACGCTCAGGCGTGAGCTTACGTCGTCACGCCGCGTCCTCCGTTTTTTTTATTGTTTACATTAGAAGCCGCGATAAGGCGCGTGTAATATAAACACTTGAAACTCGGGAACCAATTAAGCTACACAAAAAAAAAATAACATGAGTGATAAGAGCACTTAAGTAGCTTTTGTTTAGACTACAGTTATGATTGTAATACAACGACTTTATTTGCTAACTTCCGAGTACTCAGAACACTTCTGAGAAACTTTCATAGTGTTTTACGATTTAATTCTTAACCACTTTGTATATTCATTTTGTTAAGAAACAAAACATATTTAAAAGTGACGAGCATCTAAATACCTATCAATTAACACTAGAGTTATATGCAAAATAGATTTTTACTATTTTTAAAATAAATTAAAAACAATCCCGCTTAGTGGCGGAATTCGCGGAGAATTTGCGAAAATGGCGTGAAAAAACACAGGTCGCGAGGAAGAAAATTTACGAATCCTACCAAAATTCGCAATATAACGACCTAAAAAAGGTTTTAATACAACCTATATTGAATACAGTTATGTGTTTGAGTGATATTTTACTCCAAAAAGTCTTTTAATAATGAATAGGTTTTTTTCTTAAAAAACAATCACAAGGCCCCATAAGTTCGGACACTTTTTAGCGCGGACCCGACGTCCATATAATTGTAAATCAATGGCAGCGGCGTGTTGTTTTTGTTTGGCAACCATAGTTTGGTGCAACAACGTCATTGGCAACTATAGTTGCCAATAACAGTTCAGTTTATTATATTTTGTAAAAAGCCATAGAACAAAAGTTGTTGTTCATGATGTTTGTAACATGGTTCTGTGAGGTTGTTAGTGTTTTATAAATAAACCTGTATACTATCACGAATGTCTCCTATAGATTTAGGTAAAGATTGTAGTTTTCTATGCACTTCGCTTTTAACCGACTTCAAAAAAGGAGAGGGTTCTTAATTCTACTGCTTTTTGTATGTATGTTACGCCATAACTTCTTTGTGAACCGATTTTGATGATTCTCTTTTGTTGGGGATGAATGACTTTTGAGATCAATTTTTTTAGCAATCTGTATTGAGATTTTGACGCACTTTTGTGCGTCATACCTTTCCATTCATACCCCTCAATTTTCATGTTATAAAAATGTAAATTATTTCTATGCAGTGTTGTTCAATAAAAAAAACGCTCATGTACTATGTCCCTTTTATTGGTTCTTAAAAATTCTGTTAAAAATAATATTTTTATTTCCATAATATGTATAAAAAGGTAGATATACAATTATATAATTATACACTTATATCTACTTACAGTCTATGAAACACTGTATACAAAACCTATTTATACAAAAAATACAAAAATTTTGCTAAAACTGACTGGTATGTTTACGAAACATTGGCATTTTTTACATTATTCCACCGAGAGCTATACAATATCTCGTAATATTTAATTATATTAATGAAGAAAATGTTTATTAAAAATTAAATCGTACAATTCCTATCTTCGTAATTTAATCTCAAGGGTAAAAAAGTCAATAAGTGTATTAATTCAATATCACACAGAAATATAAAGTTTTATCATCAAAAATTTTATTGTAATTTTTTATCTCCAACTAGGTTTCTGGGTTTAACAAGAAAAAGCTGTACGTTATGTTACGTTGCTTAATGTTTTTTTAGAGTACTTGGGACAGTCTGATGCAGGGCAGGCGCTATCATAGGGCGGACGCGGCAGCCGTTCCAGGCGCCAAACCCTAGGGGGCGCCTCGGTGGTAAAGAAATATAAAGGAAAAAAATCTTAGCTTTTCGATATTTTTCTTGCGTGTGTGAGGCTAGTTTTTAAATGACCTCATTATATAAGGCAGTACAGAAATTTTACAAGATGTTGTCGAGCCTTCCAAGTTATTGCACGCAAGACTGGTTTCACACTTCTTATATTAAGGGCAAGCAAGGGGGTCGCCATATTTGGATCTTGCTCTACTCTAAAACTAGCCTTGGTCCGACACAGGAGTGAAGTCCTGTCTTAAGCAACTAGTTCTTTGACTTTATGCAATTTTTTGATACCGTGGAATTTTCATTTTTAGGATGTTGACAATAGCAATCACAATTGATGCACAAGTGTCACAACGGCAAATATCCATAAACGTAGATCTCAAGTTGTACTTTCGTTTTTGAAAACACCTAACCGCCGACCATCTTAAATAATTCTGGTTTTCATAGAAAATATTTATTTAAAACACCCAAAACTGCCCTCCACAAAATGATTAATTACCTAGCACGGCGAACAGATTTTCCGAAATCGCCCTTTTACACGGAATTATAACGTTCAAATTCCATATCACACATTTATAAGTTAAACTTAATAATTTGATTGGTCTAAAAACTATAGTGTCTTTTTTCATTTATCATTAAATGAAAAGCAATCAATATTTCTTGGACCTGTCAGATTATTTTAGAATTCTAAACGTGCGTAAAAGAAACAATTATCATTTTTATACGTCATAATAAAAATAAAAATAATTTAACTTCTCTCATGTATTTACAATATTACTCATTATCTACTACTAAATAAAGCTTAAAATGGACGGATAGTCGTCTTAGTAGATAAGGAATGAAAACTGAGGTAGTTCAAAAACAAAATATCCAAATTAAAGAAATTTAGAAATAGTCTTCAAATCACTATAAAAGACTAAGAATTAACAAAAGAGAACAGGAACAAAGTCCAAGGAATGTTAGAAAGTAACCCATGTACTCGACATTATTAATATTAACTTATGCATTATAGCCAAAAACAGCTAACAGTGGAAAGCAACAATTAAAAACACTGGAGTACGATTTTAAAATTTGTGAAAATGTAGAAATTTTCATAAATTATAAACATTTTGGAGTAATTTAGCGTAAGATGATTTGTTTCTCAATATTGCACAGACAATTTAACAGTGCACAATTAAGACTGTAGACGAAACCGTTAACAACTTAATTTCTCATAATCAAACCTCTCCATACAATAGACCTTAAAAACGGAATAATCTATCAAAAGCCGAAAATTCACTATTGCGTTTTCTCTTTAATTATTCCATTCGCGTAGCCATTCGTGTAACCATTCTTAATGTGACTATTAGACTTAACATCTCCATTAGCGATGTCACCATTGGCTTTGATATCTCCATTCTTCGTGACGTCACCATTAGCAACATAACCATTGGTTTTAGCGTGGCCGTTAGGTAGATCTTCGTTGTTGTTATTGTTTGTAGTTTCAACCATAGGTTTCTTAGGTTTTGGTTTATAAGCTTGAATGTAGAAGTTCATGAAGAGAACGATGAAGATCGTTGAGTGGAGGATGAGACCCGAAGCAATAATCCTGAAACAGAAACAAAATGTTTACTTCATCAAACGTCACACCAAAATCTGTAACACAGAACTGCTAGACGAAGATCTTTATACATAGGGCGCACTATAAGTTTCCGGAACTGGCCACTTACATAAACTATATTTAAAAAGTAATTACAACATTGAAAATGGAACTCTTTGGCTGTGGAATACAGTTTGTTTCATCTGACTGTCACTTGTTTTTACATTGTGGCGTCATTTTAGAAATTGGTTGTCTACATCACCATGGATTTAACTCATGAACATTGTCGTAGTATGATTTTCTACGACTTTAAGTGTAATGTAACAGCTAAGCGGAACTTTGCTCGGCGTCAAACTGCTTTTGGCGATGAAGACCCATGCAAGACGACTATTTATAGCTGGTTTGCAGAATTCAAACGTGGTCGTGTGAATCTCAGTGACGAATTTCGTGATGGTCGCCCGTCCACTGCTGTGAACAACAAAAACATCGATGCTGTGCGCCGTATGATCAAAACAGACAGGCATGTGACATACCATGAGATTCGGGCATCTTTAGGCATAGGCATGAGTCAATACATACAACACAAACATTTGGGTGTAAAAAAGCTGTGTTCTCAGTAGATCCCACACGATTTGACTAAGTCTCAAAAAAACGGATCGCGTCACTTGGTGCAACGCCAAGCTTACCAGATTCAACAAAGGGGCGTCAAATTTGGTTTGGGACATAGAAACAGGTGACGAAAGATGGATTTATAGTTACGATCCCAAAACAAAGCAGCAATCGAGGGTATGGGTCTTTTGAGATGAGCCGAAACCAACCAAAGTGGCGCGCGTGCAAAGTGCCTCTAAGCGGATGATTGCTTCTTTTTTTGATAAAACTGGACACGAGGCTATTATTGCTTTGGAGAATTATTGTACCGTGAATAGTAATTGCTACACGACCATTTGTTTGCCGGAAGTTATTGACAAACTCCGTGAAAATAACCGTAAACGCCGCATCATCTTGCCACGATAATGCCAGTTCTCACATGGCCAGACAGATAAATGAATTTTTGAAGGTGAACAACATTGACCTTATGAGCCATCCAGCATACAGTCCCGACCTGGTAGCTTGTGACTTTTTTTATATTACCAAAAATTAAGAACCAGTTACGCGGTCAACGATTTTCATCACCTGAAGAGGCTGTCGAAGAGTATGAAAAATATATTTCAGAGATTGTCACGGAGGAGTGGCATAAATGTTTTCAAAATTGGCACGTTCGTATGAAAAAGTGTATTAACGCTAACGGAGGACATTTTGAGAAACAATAAATTAATTTCTGACAATTTATAGTATTTTTTTCTTATTCATTCCGGAAACTTATAGTATGCCGCACGTAAGAATAATGAATCAATTCGCCTTTTCGGCTTTGAAATGAGGGAAGTTATAATATATAGTGCAGGTACATAAATAAACCGTGTCCGTTTCCTTAACGCATTCTTTAATCGTTTTCTAGAATACTCAACATATGGATTAGTTGCAAGCATTTCAATTGGCATCTTTTTTTTTTTTATAATACCAAGTGACGGGACGAACAAGTCGTGAGCCTGGTGGTAAGCTACACGCATGCCCATAACAATTGTAGTGCCACCAAGAGCTTTAAATTACAAAGATCTTGGGGGCACTGCCTCTGCGCCCGTCACCCTAAGACATAAGTTGACAAGTCTCATGTGCCTGTAATTTCACCAGCGCCCTTACCCTTCACAACCGGAACACAGTAATGTGACCATTACTGCTTGGCGGTAGAAATAGGTAAGGTGGCAGTACTTCCCTGGACGAACCTTTTCACAAGGAGCTCTACTGCTACTAAAAATCTATACGGGGAAAGTTCAGTTTTTAAAGTAAAGATAACGGAAATAAAAAAAATATTTAAATTACAATCGAAATTTTGCTAAGTTCAGTAAATCTACTATTTAGTTATTTTCAAAAGTCATAACAATGACATCTACAGAACGGAACAACGTTAATAGGATGTTTGGTGATGAAGACCTTGGCCAAGCTAAACAAGGTCATGATTGCAATTCCTATTTACACGTGAAGGTGAACCGATTTCAGGTATGGTTATATTTGCTGTTCCACTTTCACAATAACTGTCAATTAAATCGGAACGAAATTCTGTATAATATTGTAAGGACATATCAATAAATGTCAAATTATTTGCTTCTTTTGGAGCGAAAAGATGAAAAAGTGAAACCATTTCACAAAATTGTGACATTCGACCTGGCTGCGCGATTTGAGAAAGTGACGACATGTATATATATATATATATATATATATATATACACATGTCGTCAATAGGAGTATATATATATATATATATATATACTCCTATTCCCGAGCGCACAAATCTTGTGTACATGGATTTTATAACTGGTTTCAATTATTTATTAACCTAACATTAATTTTCTTATTTCTGTATAATAATGTTCTGTAAATTGTAGATTATAAATATAATAACCCAAGTAAACGAGAATAAAATCGTTGTAAATCTAGAATAAATAGCTCTGAAAATTCGATTTTCATTTAAATGAAATTTAATAATTGTATTTAAGTAATGAAAAAATAACTATAATAAAAACAACCTTTGGAGCAATTACACTATAAAAGCCTACAGTGCCTTGCGTGTCCAATTCAACTACGACCAGAGTGAGAAGCAGTACCAACAGTGTTCTTAAGGTGGTTGCAGAGAGGATCGACAGCCCATTCCTTAAGTATTGGATGTCCATCTTTGTCCATGAAAATGAACACTTTGCATTCTACTTGCACTATATGGACATGTAACTATACCTACTGTCTGAAAGAAATTCTTTCATTTCCTGTCATTTCATAATGTTATCCGTGACCATATGCCAGTACAGGGCCCGAAACATCGGTTTGTTTGAAAAAACAAATATACGTGATTTTGAACCGAAAAAGTCAAACCATCGCGAAAACCTAAAAGTTCTATATGCAATAATAGGCATGTAAAAAAATTGGCAATGAATATAGTATAAAATAAATGCTTACTTCGGATAACCGCAGTCGTAGACCAGGGCACTGATAGAGTGGAAGAGCACCATAAAGAACTGGATCTGGAAAAAACAAAGCATTGTTTTTAGAAATACGATTATATAGCACTGCTATTACAATAGTGTCGTAACTCAAAATATGTGAAATTTAATATTATATTATTACTGAACGTAAAATTTGATTCTCTACACGTCAAAATAACCGTCGTTAGAATATTGTAAGAGACAATCAAAAGATATCTACTTAACTCAAAATGAGACACACTTTATGTGAGTTAGTTCTAGCCAAATAGCCAAAATAACCCTTTTTCAAAAATATGAAATTTTTGTTTGTTGTTTCTATTTTATTTTTAAATAGATTTGAGACATTTTTTTAAGTGTCTGTAATACACTATAACATATACATAAATTTTATTGATTTTTTGCGGGAAGCTATTCGTTTTTCATCGATTCTGAATAGTCCTCTTTTTGAGTTAATACACTATTGTATTAACAGTGCGATTATGATAAAAGACATCTTGGAGTAGCAATTAATACAAATGAACTTTAGTACATATTTAAAAGTGTAGATGGTGACACTTGGATAAAATAAAAAATAAGTATTGAATCTCGAAAATTTGAGACACTAAACATAAGTACAAAAATATATAAAAAGAAATGCCAAACCATGTAAACAACATTTTAGGAATGTTGAAATTAATATTTTTTTACAGTTACAAAAATTACAACTGTCGTCATTGACTTACAAATAAAGTCGTTGTAAAGATAACAAATCGGGGGTTTCTCAATGGTATTCCTTTTGATTTGTTAGTTTGTAATCAATTGTCGGTTATTGTTTTAACTATTAAAATAAATTCCTAAACCACCTTAACCTAGCCTAAACCTTGACTTAGCGAAACAGTCTCTGGTAACTCGCCTTAAGTACTGTCCATAAATCATTAAGTTTAATACTCTTTGAGGATATTAAATGAAGATTTACCTATTTAGTCATAAAATACGTCTTTGAAACGTTAAATAATTATGTAGAACAAAGTATTACAACCATAGATTGCATGAGCGGTTTGAAGATTCGCGGAAAAGGTAAATTACTAATATAAATGTTAATGATGTCAAGTTTAATTACAATGTAATAATGACTGAATGTAGTAAGATTTTACATCTAGAATGAATTATTTCATAGTAAACAAACATGTAAGTGCCTACATTGATGACCTGATGGAAGCTGATTTCCACCGCGAATGTACATTTGCGACACTAAGGAAGTACACGTAATGTCGCAATTACTTTGCCAACCTTGGGTCATGAGATCTCATGCTACAACATTATCACACTATATGTTCTGCTGCTGGCCACGGATCTTTTCTAAGGAGAAAATTAAAGTTATAATACGCCTTGCTAGACCAATGCGGGTTTAGGGACTTCACATTTTGTCCAAGGGTTGGGAGAGGTGCTACTGAACACGTATTTAGATTTAAAAAGTCAAAGTCAGAGAATCATTAATTTCATAGGTAAAATAAATTTACACTTGAAAACGTCACTTTTAAGCTACTGCTCGTTCACTAAGCTGACTTCCCTGGGAAGTCATAAGTATATGCAGCCGTAGGGACCTGGAAAACGCAACGTATTTCCAGCCCTAATTTACATTGGCGAACCATAATCATAGTATTTGAGTAATAAAGTAACACATATAATTTACGTTTTACAATAAAGAAATGTCAGTAACAAGTTAATTCACAATGTTATTGAAAGATTTCAAAACCAGGTGATACCTATTTCGTCATTGCTAAAAATAACGGAATCATAATTTTATTATCTCTGTATATGTAGATCCGGTTAAATGACGAAGTAAGAAAACAAAACTTTTCTTGTTATATCACCTGACCGGATTTTAAATATTTTTTTAAATAAAATATTTAAATAGCTTAGCCCGTTCTTGTTGCTAATTCATAAGTGGTAACTTTAACATGTAAATAAGTTGCTATTGTACGGACTTTTTTGGTGTCAGTTTGCTATGCAGGTCTGACGGGCTGTAAAGTGATGGTACTTATGAACAGCGAGTTCGTGTTCTATTGTTTAGAAAGAAAGAAAGAAAGAAACGTTTATTCATCTTAGTAAGGCTTTATACAGAAGAAACTAATGATTACAATTACAAGCTGAAATGTCTGAAACGGATCCAACTCAGCATATGTCACAGCTCAGGTGCTGTATCGTTGGATTTTAGTTGGAGCCGCTTTTATTTATACATAATTAAGGTACTTGTAAACTATTTGATCAGACTGGTTTAATATGACAGCCATGAACCAGGTATCAAATGTTATTTACGAATATTGTAAAAATCCGGATCGAATTTAGTCGGTTATTGACACGTTTTGCATTTTTTTTCATGAAACCAAGCGAAATTATGAACAAGTCGTGCGACTGGGGCAAAGTGACACGCCTACCCATAACAGTTGCAGTGCCACGGCGCCCATCACCTTGAGACATAAGTTTGCAAATACCACTGTAATTTCTTCAGCACCCTTACCATTCAAAACAGGAATGCAGTAATGTGAACCTTGGAGGTAGAAATGGATAAGATGACAGTATTTCCCTGGATGAACTTCTACACAAAGAGCTAGTAGAGCCAGCGACTTTACTAAATAACGTATAAGAACAAACGAATGTTTTCTTAGAATAGAAGAAAAAATCGTGATATTTTACTTGTACAATTACGTAAACCACAAACAATTTAAAAAACAACATAATAATAAAAAAATAAGAACAAAGTAAGCCATGTCTGTTATTCTTAAGTATTACAAAACCCAACTCACAGATGACGACCCAAGCTTATTATTAATGGCTTAAAACCCGTTCTGAGACATTTATGTGTTGATGATCGTGATAATGCCAATAGAAATATTTCCCTAGCATTTTTCCTGTCTGGTGCTATACTTTAAATTCCAAATTATTATTCAAGTCGGCATTGCCAAATGTTTCTTTATTATTCTAAATATTTTTTCTTTCTAACGATATGATTTACATAAACTATTTATTATCCTTCGTAAATTTTAAGATATCGGTCGGCTATATGTATGTATTTTTTTAAGCATTAGCGTCCGCAAACTCGTATATGAATCTGGGCGTGCGTCATGCAGCGATATGGAAAACACAAACGTGAACCATATAACTACAGGAAGCAGTTTCCAACCAAGTGCACAAGGTAAAATTTTTAAAGTGATTTTATTATTTAAACTGTTTTTACTGAAACATGGAACAGCTGTCTATCAAATATTGGTCGAATAGGTAGCATTAAGAATTGCAAAATGTAAGTGGCAGTGGGCGAGACACATTGCTCGCAGAACAGATAGCCGATGGGGCCAAAGGGTTCTCGAGTAGCGACCGCGTACCAGAAGACGTTCGTGGGCAGACCACCCACAAGGTGGACCATGATCTGGCCAAGGTTGCGGGAATCACTAGAATGCGAGCAGCACAAGACCAGCCTTTATGGCGTGGTCGTCTCTCGGCTGACGTAAAGTGAAGCATGGAAAAGCTACTATTTATGTCATTTATTTCGCAATTCGATGCTCTGTACTAAAAGTTGCTCTTATTGTTGGGTAGATCAAACCCCAATAAAGAATGTGAATTAGTTTGATGATTCACGATTCACAGGTGCCACGACGCATCATTCATTCTACGATGCATATTTACTACTCATTCAATCGTCTACACGCGTAGTTTATTAATTTAGATTTAAATGTTCTCGTTTACATCAAGGAGAATAGATTCAGTCAAATTGTTGATAACCCAAATAAGTCTCCACAGTCAAGCATGCTAACAAACAATTTTAAAATATTAACTTAAACTAATTAATAAAAAATGATAATTTCTGTGGGTATCAAATGGTTTTTAGGTGATAATTTTTTTTTATTAAGCGTTATTATTTGTTGTGAATAAAGCGGTTACAATTTTGTCGCATCTTTTTCACACTGAAATCTGAGAGAATACAGTCTTGCTACTTATTTTTTCTTTATAAAGGGGACAGTCATTTTGTGCAACTAAACCTGCACAGGGACCTTATCAGTCATATCAGCCCATTGACACAAGCTTCATCCGGTTCTCTTAGGTGAGCACCCACTCTCCCTATTGTCGAGAGATGTACCGGAATTGTAAGCTCGCTTACTTCTCGTTGTGCATCCGAGAGAATACAGTGAAAATATTTTTTTATGATGTCATGTGATCGAACATGTCGTGCGCCTGATGGTAACCGACACGCCTATTCATAACAGTTGCATTGCCACTCAGAGGATCTGATGAGCAGTGCCACTGTACACGTGGCATATGAGACATAAAGTTGACAATACAAAACGCGCTCGCGGAACGCATACATCTAATTGTTTTCAGAGAAACTACATCCCTTTTGTAATAATGTTTCAAGTAGATCTTCTTTAGTTTTTGTAAACTGCTAGAAAAAATTATACTGTGTTTCATACAGACCATTATCCAGAATGTGCTAATATCTTCAGAAATCGTGACTCGAACATATGTATGTATAACTAGAAAGGACATACGGGTTAGCATTTATAAATGTGCGGAGGCTTTTATAGGACGCGGCGAAAGGATACTGCGTTCCGGCGTGTTTCGAAATCGCCGAGTCGTTCACATTGAAGGAAAACTTGATAATTTTAGTTTGCTAATGGAAGTTAATGGAAGGGATTTTTTTTATATATGTGTTTTTTTTTAAATTTTATACTATTTTAATGTTACTATTAGTTAAAGGGATTGTTTGATTAGATTGTTCAATTATCGTATTCACGTCGAGTTGTCAATTAAGGCAAAACACCGGAGGAGAAGCGGGAAAAACTGTTTTGCTGGATCAAATGGTTTAGGTATTTACGATTAAATAACGATCTCAAAAAATATACGATACACCTAAGGATATTTTCTAAAGAATGTGCTAATTCGTTACACGATAGCATGTACTTTACTTGATCATATAAAATCCCGAAAACAGGCTACGACATATGTCTAAAATAAGTTATTTAAGAATAAAATATGTAACTTTGTACATAATTTTCATATGAAAT